CTGGTGATAACTTAGTGATAACCTGTTAACCTGGTGATAACCTGGTGATAACTTAGTGATAACCTGTTAACCTGGTGATAACCTGGTGATAACTTAGTGATAACCTGTTAACCTGGTGATAACCTGGTGATAACTTAGTGATAACCTGTTAACCTGGTGATAACCTGGTGATAACTTAGTGATAACCTGTTAACCTGGTGATAACCTGGTGATAACTTAGTGATAACCTGTTAACCTGGTGATAACCTGGTGATAACTTAGTGATAACCTGTTAACCTGGTGATAACCTGGTGATAACTTAGTGATAACCTGTTAACCTGGTGATAACCTGGTGATAACTTAGTGATAACCTGTTAACCTGGTGATAACCTGGTGATAACTTAGTGATAACCTGTTAACCTGGTGATAACCTGGTGATAACCTGTTAACCTGGTGATAACCTGTTAACCTTTTGATAACCTGGTGATAACCTGTTAACCTAGTGATAACCTGTTAACCTGATGATAACCTGATGATAACCTGTTAACCTGGTGATAACCTGGTGATAACTTAGTGATAACCTGTTAACCTGGTGATAACCTGGTGATAACCTGTTAACCTGGTGATAACCTGGTGATAACCTGTTAACCTAATGATAACCTAGTGATAACCTGTTAACCTGGTGATAACCTGGTGATAACCTAGTGATAACCTGTTAACCTAGTGATAACCTGTTAACCTGATGATAACCTGATGATAACCTGTTAACCTGGTGATAACCTGGTGATAACCTGTTAACCTAATGATAACCTAGTGATAACCTGTTAACCTGGTGATAAGCTTTTAACCTGGTGATAACCTGGTGATAACCTGTTAACCTAGTGATAACCTGTTAACCTGGTGATAACCTGTTAACCTGGTGATAACCTGGTGATAACCTGTTAACCTAATGATAACCTAGTGATAACCTGTTAACCTGGTGATAACCTGGTGATAACCTAGTGATAACCTGTTAACCTGGTGATAAGCTTTTAACCTGGTGATAACCTGGTGATAACCTGTTAACCTAGTGATAACCTGTTAACCTGGTGATAACCTTTTAACCTGGTGATAACCCGGTGATAACCTGTCAACCTAGTAATAACCTGGTGATAATCTATTGATAATTGATGATGATCATGTGTCACCCACCTGTCACTCAAACAAGCCACGCCCTCAATCCTCCATAACTTTAGTCCTTAATAAACACATATACACAATCACATAATCACATATTATCTGTAACGCATCATACAGGAAGTGGACATGTTGGGCCACACGTGTCGTTTGACACCATGGTAACACTTTAAAAGTGTAATAGTTCCACCTGTGTTTTTTGTTCTACTCTGTCAAACACATAAACCCATCTGTCTCTTAATGTGAACTCACGGCTGGAGAAACAACATGAATCTGAAGAGAACAGAAGAAAAAACAAGACGGAAAATAAACCAAGAAAAAGCTTTAGAAGTTTTGATCCCAGAGAGACGACAGACGGTTTCTATTTAAAGACTCTTCTGCCTCAAAAACACTCGACACACAGAGACTGATCTGCTGCTGAGAGAGCAGCACTGATCAATACCTGATCAGTAACGCCAATATCTTATCAGTAAGCTGCTCCTGCTGGGGTTTATTTCACGGCGCTGACCTTAATGTATATGAGACATTTACAGTGACTGAGACAGAAGCTGTGTCCCAGTTCAGGGGTCACTTCCTTCATAGACCGCGAGGACCGAACCGAAATGAGACAGTCTGGTCTAACGAGGATTTTCTCTTTGCGTCACCACCTTAATCTAATGACACAGTAACAGCTGTGAGTCTTTCTTATATCCTCCATCACTGTCACTGGTTAGAGTGAAATGCATGCTGGGATTTTTATTCATTTCAAGTCAAATTTCAAGTCAATTCAGGCGACGCATCCTGCAGAGAATGCAGCCTGCGAAGGTGTGGTCCTTCGTAGACCGCGAAGACCGAACTGAAATGAGACGGTCTGGTCTACGGAGGAACTGTTGCTAGGCGAGCAGGTTTCTTCATGTCCGTTTCTCTTATGAAGCAGATTCATAGTTTCAGGAAATAGTTTCACTGGTTTTATTCGTCAACTAATAAACTGAAGAACCCACAACAAGCTGTTGTAAACAACTGTCTCAGTTTGTTTGTTTCGAACAATAAAAAACAGTTACAACAGGCTGAAGATCTTTTCTTATATTTCTTTACTTAAATATTTTTCATCCAGATGTTTGAAGAGTCTTTGAGGATGCAGAAAACTGCATCAGAACAGCTGGAACAGCTGGAGGAGTTTTAATCAACATCACCAGTTAATGATGTTTAAGAGAAGCTGATGTTTCCTCTGCGACTGTTTCCTGATGCGCGACACTCCGTCTGAACACATCTTCACACAACCCATCGACACCGTGATGATGGTCTCCCTGACAACCACTGACCTGATGATGTGTCAGAGCTGGAGCTGAGGGTCAAAGTTCATCCACAGCAGGGGAAGATTTAACTTCCTGTGTCACCTGATTCTTTCTTTTTTTTGAAAGTCACAACAAAGATTTTTGGAAAATTTGTTCGAGTCACAAAGAACTGAACTTCTCTTCTATGACTCACCTGTTGCACAGTACAGGTGTTTACTGAAGAACCTGAAAGCATCAGACAGTCACAGCTCACTGAACACACATCAACAGTTTCTGTTGATGAAATTGATTGTTTTCATTTTAATTTCAATAATTAATTGAAATTAATTGTTAATTGTTTGAAGTCATATTCATTTCATTAATTTCCCATAATCCAATGTGATGTCTTCAAATATCTGAGTGAAGTTTCAGACTCAAACTGATTTAGTTTATTATCATGTGACAAAATTGAAAACAGAAACGTGATATTTTTGCTTAAAAAAATGTCTAAAACAGTTAATTGATTATCAAAATATTTTGTTGATGGACTAATTGAATAATTGACTGATCACTGCAACTCTAGATGAAAAGGAGCTGTAATGTCACACACCGTACTGTCAGTGAACATCACACACCTTTGCGTCCTCCGTTTTGTATTTATCACATTATAAAGCTATAGGATTTATGTGTTGCCTTCAGGGACCTGAGGATCTTCATATGATGGTTACTTCTCTGGGTAAGCATGAGCATTTTTTTCTGACACATTACAGACCAATCAATTAATCAAGAACATAATTAACAGATTAATCAATAACGACGGCTGTGAGGTGGCTCTGGACTAGTGGCCACACTCAGTACTGCAGTGTCATGTGACCTGCACTGGTCACAGACAGAAGCAGCTGGAGAATGATGAGTTTTATTTTCAGAATTTGATCCATTCAGTCTGAAAAAACATTTAGAAATTAAATTAAATGATATGATTTTATCCCGTTAATGTGGAGGGAGGGGGGACTCTACTGAGCATGCTCTGTGAGGTGTTTTCAGTGTTTGAGCGCAGAGAGGACGAAGGTGACACCATCACTGAACGCAGCATCCAGTTCTTCTTCTTACTAATAATGACAGTTTTCACCATCTATTGATTTGCTGATTATTGTTTCAGTAAATCAATTAATTGTTTGATCTAAAAAAAAAAAATGTCAGAAAATGGTCAAAAAAATTAATAAAAAATGTAAAAACAAGAAAACCCGACGTCCTCAAATGTCTCATTTTGTCCAAAACCAACAGAGACAGGAAACGTTAAAGAGGCGGGAACAGAAACATTTAGGACATTTCTGCTTGAAAAATGACAAAATTATGAACATAAATGATCAATTATTAAAATAGAAGCCGACTCATTCTCTATCGATCAACTAAACAATTAATCAATAAATTATTTCAGCTCTGATAACTGAGTTGAAATGATCCAGTTTTACCTGTAGGACAGGTGACATGTCTGACACACACACACACACTGTGACACAGGAATCAAATACCTCTCAGCACATGGAGGACGTCAGATCTTCTGCAGCCTGCAGAGACGTTTCCACAGCAACAACAACAACAACAACAACAACAAACGTATCAACAACATAAATAAGTGGTTTATTCTGCAGCAAAAAGGGGCAGAGCAGCCACCCCCACCCCACAGACACACGCCTGTAAATCACCATGACAACGAATAAACACCTGTGTCTGGATCAGCTGATTGTGACCTCAGATTCTTCATCAGTGAATTCACTTAAAAAAAAAAAAAAAAAAAAAGTACAGAAGCTCCAAACAAACAAGTGATCTGAGGATGAGTCAAGACTCTCCTCCAGGACTCAGGTCCAGGTCTTCCAGGTCCAGGTCTACAAGGTCCAGGTCTACCAGGTCCAGGTCTACCAGGTGACTTCACTGGATCATTATGGACTGGAAGATTTTCAGGTCTTTTAATGAGTTTTAATGTTTTTAAAACATAAAAACTGAAACTTGTCCATCAGCATCTGTGAGGCTCCGCTCTTAGTTTCTGACATCAGTCATGAAGCTGCCCCCCCCCCCCCCCCCCGAGGCCCCTGTGAAACCTGTCACTTTGTCCAAGAAGGAATCAAGGCTCCTGATTGGAGCTGCAGGTGTATCTGAGAAAATGACCAAGGTGCGTGTTTCTCCGCGGAGAGGACGTGTGTGTGTGTGTGTGTGTGTGTGTGTGTGTGTGTGTGTGTATTCGGTGTCACTACAAACAAGAACCTGACGCTGCTGCCCTCAGTACTGCCTGACAGGTTTTCGAGAGGGGGGGGGGGGGCTACGCCAAAACACAGCGGTGCTGTCTCAGCCTGACACCGGGGGCCGAACCGTCCCTGAACACCGACACCGACACCGACACCGACACCACCCTCCAACAGTCCGTTAAACCGGGATAAACCCGCGGAGACCCGATCCCGCTCCCGGTCTCACTGTGGCCCAGTTCACCGCACAACAAGCTGCACCCAACTGTCACACACCGACCAGCACCGACCAGACCGACACAAAGCCTCCACACACTCCTCCGTGACTACGGCGAACCCGCTCTGAGCTTACCTGAGAGGGCGGTTAGCGCGGCTCGGCCCGGGTTATCTCAGCCAACAAATCCCGGAGAGCGGAGACGAGAGGAAACTTTAGCTGGAGCTCCCGGTCTGCTCCTCCGGCGGGGCGAGGAGGGAGGGAGGGAGGGAGGAGGAGGGAGAGGGAGGGGGAGCTCCGAACCGATCCGAGGCCGGGGAGGAGCGCTGAGGTCCGGCTGCGGAGGAGATCCGAGCGCGGAGCCGACGGCAGCAGCAGCGAGCAGCGGGTGGCTGGAGGAGAAGTGGCCGGCTGAGAAGCTCCGTTAGCCGGGTGGAGAATCCAGTCAGAGCCGGGAGGATAAAGTTGATCTACTGCTCCGCTCAGCTGTCGCCATCTTTACCCGCGGGGCATGACGGGTAATCCTCAGGAATCCCGATCCCCCCCCACCTCACTCACTCACACACACACACACACACACACACACACACACACACACACACACACACACACCCCTCTGCCCAATCCACGTCCTGCGTGCTGACGTCACACACCTTAATCTGTGGAGTTGTAAAGGTGGAGTTCAAGGCGGTAAAATATTATCAGCTGTTTATTATTAATTTACTGATGAAGTTTTTGTTCATGACGTTTATTATTAATGTGAACAGATCGCAGCAGGTTGTAGAGCTAACTGCTAACGGCTAACAGCAGCTCATTAACGCCACTGTCTCTAACGTCTCCTCACAACTGTGTCCTAAAAGTAAAACTGGACCATCAGCCGGTTAAAGTGAGCAATTACCCAGGGGCCCCAGACCCCCAGGGGCCTCACCTGCTTCACTCCCCATCACTTGAGTCTACAGGACATAATTTAACTAATCACAAATCTGTTAGAAATGTGTAACAAACAGACTGTGATCAGCAATTCGAACTGTTTTTCCAGCGGTCATCTTTTAAGATTGAGAACTTCCTGTGACTCGTTAGTTCTGTGGAGTGACTGGAAGATTCATCAGCGTCTGGTCAGTTCATTCTCAGGCAGAGAAAATCAGTCTGGAAGCATCAGTTCAAACTGTTTTAGTAGAAATGAACCAGTGAACACACAAACTGCTGCCGGAGAGCGATGACAAATAAAAGCAAAACAACACACAAAGACGACAACACGTTTAAAATAGAAAGTGATAAACTATAGGAAATACAAAATGAATGCAAAGAAATGATACGAGTCTTTCATCATTAGTCTGATCCCAGTAAATGTCCATATTTTGATATTTTTATATATTATATTATATTATATTATATTATATTATATTATATTATATCATATTATAGATCTAGATTTGTTTCCATTTTCTTGTTTTGTTTTCATGTTGTTTCCAACATCACTGATCCAAGTATAAAATAATATACAAATATCAAATAAATATACAAGATACACATTTAAATGTGGCACGAGAAGAGAGAGTGAGGGAGAGAGACAGAGAGAGAAGGAGGGAGGGGGAGAGGAGAGAGAGAGAGGGGAGAGAGAGAGAGGAGAGGGAGGGAGGGAGGGAGTGGTAAGCAAGAAGGTCAAGATAGAGAGAGAAGAGGAGAGGGCAGAGCAGAGAGCAGAGGGAGGGAGGAGCCAGTAGCCCACCCGTGCCATGAGTGGAGAAGGGAGAGAGAGACAGAGATCAAGAGAGTCGTACGAGACTGCAGCCACGAGCGAGAAGGCACAGCGGAGGGAGTGGGAGCGGGGAGAGGAGAGAGAGGCGGGACACGACGAGACGAGAGAAGACAGAGGAGGGGTGAGAGGGAGGACGAGGAGGGGAGAGGACTGAGGGCGTGCTCGAGGCGAGAGAGCGCGAAGGGGATGGAGAGGGAGGCGGGACGACGAGGGAGGGGGAGGGAGGGGACGAGAGGGAGAGAGAGAGAGGAGGAGGGAGGGGCGGAGAGGAGAGCAGAGGGAGGAGAGCGGCCGAGAGAGACCGAGCGAGGATGAGACGGGAGGACGAGGGAGGGGGAAGAGAGAGAGACGAACGCGGAGGGGTCGCAGAAGAGGAGAGACGAGAGAGAGGGGGGAGAGGGAGGACGAGGGTTGAGGGGAGAGAGGGAGGGAGGCGAGGGGGAGACGGGAGGGAGCAGAAGAGAGCGGAGGGGGAGAGAGCATGAGGATGACAGTGCGGAGGGGGAGCGAGAGGGAGGGAGGGAGGGGGGAGAGGGAGGAGAGGGAGTGGAAGAAGCGACGGAGAGGAGGGGGCCTGAGAGAGGGGGAGAGAGGAGTGGGGAGAGAGAGAGAGAGGGAGGGGGAGAGGGAGGGGGAGAGAGGGAGGGAGGGAGGGGGAGAATGGTCAGTAGATGGCAGTAAGGTCAAGACTAGAGAGAGAGAGAGTGTGTTCACATTTCATGTTTTCATTTAACTTTGTCGTCGTTTATTAGTTGAAGAGATTTTGTCTTTGAAGCAGCTGCTGATTGAAACAAGAGGCAACATTGAAAAAGGATCCAGATTCAGGACTCAGATCCAGATTCAGGACTCAGATCCAGATTCAGGACTCAGATCCAGATTCAGGACTGAGTCTGAATGAAGGACTTGAACTTGTACTGAAGTATTTGTACAGTGTTGTTCTGGTTCCTCCATTTGACTGAATAAATGTTTGTTCTGTCTCATTATTTTGTTTTCACCGACTCCATTTATGCAAATATTCATTTTTAAATTCAATTTTATTTTGTACATTAGAGTCTAAAATGTTTCCAGAGGCTGTCTGTCATCCTGATGGAGAACAATGAATCATCACTCTGTCGACAGTTTACAGCTTCTCTATAGCACTGCACGTTACAATATATACTGTAGGCTACACTATATATACTATATATATACTGTGTATATATAATATATCATGTCACATGGTCAGAGTCTCAAACCTGTCGGCTACCAGGACCCAGCAACCCAGCAGCTTCACCTGTGACTCCTCCCCTCAGGTGTCTGAGTCGTCGTCTTGAAGACGACCCGTCAGACGAGATGAAAGTTTAACGATCCTGCAGGAAGAAGCGGGACAGAGGACAGGATCAGACTACAGCACTGATCCAAGACCAGGTGTACAGGTGTGGGCGGTCTCCGTCCCTCAGTTCTGTCTGCAGGTGTTTGTTGTGTCCACAGACTGTTTCAGTCTGAGGTCGTCTGTGTTGACACCAACTCACTCAGAGATACAGTCAAGTTTTCTGTCAACACACCAGAGATGAGGACAGACACCTGTCAGCAGAGGAAATATTAATATTGTAAATAATATATAGTAAATATTCAATAAAACAAAATATATCAAAATATTTGAAAAATAATTTACTAAAACATTAAATAATGAATAAGCAACAAAAAAGTACAAAAGTGCATAAAAAGTGCAAAATTTTAAATTAAAACCTTGGTTTCTCTCCTCGTCCCATATAATAATAATAATAATAATAATAATTAATTAATTAATTAATCAAAGAAATAATAAAAATTAAAATATAATATGAAAATATAAGATAAAGAAATAAAAAAAAAATACACCGAGAAACACAACGACTGAGTCTATGGTTGCTTAGCAACAGCATCATGTCTTCCTCCTCTTCCTCTTCCTCCTTTCAGTTAATAATGAGTTAATTGAATCAGAGCTCTGTTTCCTCTCGGCTCAGTCGTCTCGTTAGCAGCTCGTTAGCGTTGCCTCCTTTAACCACAGAGCTCCTCTGACGAGTTAATGACACAGAAAATGTCTTCAGCTGATGAGACGAGGAGAAGGAGGAGGAGGGAGGAGAGAGAGAGAGAGAGAGAGAGAGAGAGAGAGGAGGGAGCTCTACAGGATCGGTCTGATTTATTGATCAGTGTGGTAATCAAACTATTTAATCAGCAGATAGACATTCTGTTTAATGAGAATCTGATCCTGGTCCTGATCCTCCATTCCCCAGGACTCAGCAGGACTTTGGACTTGTTGTGGTTCAGACCTTGTTCTGGTGACATCAGGTCCAAGTCCTCTACAGGTCCAGAGGCAGGATGTGGTCCACAGTCCCAGATCCAGACTCTCCAGGTCCAGACTCTCCAGGTCCAGAGGCAGAAAAACCTGCAGAGAGAAACATGAAACTGGGATGGAGAGGAGGAGAGAGGAGCTCAGTGCATCATGGGAAGTCTCCCAGCAGTCTCCTATAGCAGCATAACGATGGACTGATTCAGGTGTGTGTGTGTGTGTATGTGTGTGTGTGTGTGTATGTGTGTGTGTGTGTGTGTGTGTGTGTGTGTGTGTGTGTGTGCAGGTGTTCTGATGTCACATGTCACTGATGTGTGTTGCCTTTTAACCTTGTTATCAGTTGCCATAGTAACAGAGCGGACACGTCTGGAGTGGACACACTGTGGTTATTGTTTGTCCTGTAACATCAGGCTGTTCAGCTCCTGAAACACAAACTGTTTCATTTTAGTTTGTAATAATAATAATAATAATAATAATAGTAATTATTATTATTATTATTATTATTATGAATGGATTTGAACATGTTTCTTGTTTCATTATGATCAGTGTGTTGTTGTGTCTCTGAGCTCGTGCAGGTCACAGTGACGGAGCAACCTGCTCCAACACCTGAGCTACAGGTGGATGGACCACAGACCTGTCCTCTGTGTTTTCATTCCACCAATCAAAGTCTTCACACTGTGATGACTGGTCTCACAAGGATAGACGTGCACACACATACACACACACACACACACACACACACACACACACACAGATAGCAGCTGTTGAGCAGATTATCATCTCCCTGCAGAGCGGAAAGACGAGGACAATGTCCAGCTGCTCCACAACAATGCAGACCACCCCCCCACCCCATCCCCCATCCTCTGATATGGGAGCTATGGGAGTAATGGGAGCTATGGGAGTAATGGGAGTAATGGGAGCTATGAACAACATGTCACTGGTTTGAGTTCCAGCAGCTGCTGGTGTCTCTCCAACAAGTTTCAAAACCAGAATCACAAAAGACAAAAAGATGGAGAGCAGCAGGAAGTCAGGCTGATACTGATCAATGATCTATAATCAGCTGATCTGATGCTGACGACTGACTGCTTCATATCACTGAATAAGTTTTCTCATCAGCCCCTCACTTTGAGACCCTGATGATCGGTCAGGTGTTTGATCAGGTGATCGATCAGGACCTGA